TTTTTCCAGTCCATATAAGATTAACATGGGAGCATGATATTTTAGTGCTTAAGCCCTCTTCATGCCTACACAATGTGAATGAATCAGATGATTGGATGGGTCTCGACAAGTGGAACACTTGGTTCAAATCCCAAGTCCGAGACTCGAACATGAGCCAAGATATTGTGAATTTAAAAAAAATTCAAAAAGTTTAAGACAATTAAAAACTTTGGAAGAAGTAGCCCTTTGAGCATGAGCTTATAATAACTGGAAGAGCAGATAGAGAGGGATCGAATGAGTCATGTCCTATAGGACTGTGAGGCTCGAGTGCCCAGATATTGGCCAAAAACCTGTAGACGGGGGAATGCACAGGGGGGATGTGTCCCAACAGATATGGTTTATAGAAATAGTTATTATGTTCCCCCAAGTATCAGTCCCATAGCACCCAAAAAGTGGCATGTTAAAGTATTAGACAACGGTGTGCGCGCACGCATCGGTGTCGTGAATTTAAAAATTTACCCTCATCCGTTTTCCCTAATGCCCAAAAAGAAGGAAAACTTCAAAAATATTTATACGAATATAAAAGTCTCTTATAATTTGCAACAATGTAGTAAATGTGTTTAGGTTCATTGCGTTGCGTACGTAGTAAATACATCTATAATCATATACTTGCAATTAATATTTAAATAGGCAAACCAATATTTACTTTTATGTTTTTTGTACATGAATCACAATATAAAGATTAATTTACTAATTTTTTTTTTTAATTTCCTGTAAGTATGTTTGGTTTGATAACAAAAAGTGTTCAAACAAATGCATCAGAGAAGCTCCTCAGAAGTAAAGCATTCGACTCCTAATTGAGAGGTTCCCGATTCAAACTATGGCGTCCGCTTCTTCAGGGAAGTAGAGAAAAATATATTTTTTTCAGAATTTCGAAGGTGGGAATGATCTGTCTTGTTCTGTATATTTCTAGACAAATCATTTTCGAATCCATTCCTACGGAAAGCAAAGGTTCGCTGACACGAGGATATAGCTCAGTGGTAGAGCATTCGGCTGCAGATCGAGCGGTCATCGGTTCCAACCCGGCTGTCCTCTTCTTCAGGGAAGTAAAGAGCAGTATTTTTTTTCTTTTGGAATTTCGAAGTCGGCAATGATCTGTCCCGTTCTGTATATTTCAAGACCAGTGATGGTGAACCTATGACCCATGGGTCAGACACTGACATACGCAAGCTTTTTAACTGAGCCTCTTAACTGAGCAACCACTTCTTTGTTAATACGGGTTTATTTAGTTTTTTCTAATTTTTATGGTTTATGAATATTCTTTTTCTATTTTTTAAAGCACTGCATTGAGAGAGAGACACAAATCAATTTAAATTCTGTCTATAAGCTTCAGTTTGATTATTTTATTAAAGTTACGTAAATGAAAACGAATGTATATGAAAGTTTGTATGATTTCAAATAAAACAAAAGCGTTTACAAATTATTAAATAAAATGTATAGTTTCACTCAAACTTCGTTGAAAAAAAATCGGCAAACCAAAGCAAATAACCATATTTAAAGCACTTTCTTCGGATAAAGTGCCCTTTTTTGTATAAAGAGTTGTTTGTATAAAGAGTCTTCTACAGCATTTCTATCGTCCCCTCTCTGTTTCACCTTATTAGGGCCAATGTGTGTACTGCGTATGTCTGTTATTCTCCATACTAATAATTTACGGCTCTCAATTTAAGGTGCTCCGGTACCAGTGAGAACCAGTGTTTAACTTAGTGGCGTCCATTTCGAGCGTTTTAAAAGTAATATGTATTGAAGTGGGTGTATATTATTTATGCCAATACAAAAAAATATTTCTTCTCAAAGTATGGCATTCTAAATTTAAATACAGTCAGACCCAACTTAGCGGACTGAGCATATTTTTCGTTAAATCGATGTTATTCGCAATATCGGGTCTCAAAAAACTGCAATCTTTTTTACACTTGCCTTTTGGAAATTCCATAAGCAACTACACAAAAAATATCCCGTTAGAAATTACACGCCTTTTATTCAGCAGCTAAAACTACTATTTTTGCGAATTATTACGCACCAGTTAATTGGAAATGTTAAAATATTGACTAATAAATGTTATTTTTTTTTACTGTATGCAGAGAAGAAAATACTTACATCCTTTACATCCTGATGCATGAGGTATGTTTTCACAGTTTACAAACAATGCAAAGATTTAGAAAATGTAACAGCTTTGATAGAAGTTTCATTATCAATTTCTGCAAAAATATCCCCACGCATTTGGTTTTGACAATCTTAAATGCTTAACAAATTTTCATAAATAAAATTTTAAACAATATCGTACGTATAATTAACAACATTTCTCTCAGGAAAGAGACCAAATGGTAAAATCTCTTAAAGTATTCTTGCGTTCTCTAAAGTAAAATAGAAATAATGGAATTTCCTGTACTATTCAAAATTCACACGGTAGATCACACTCCTGTCTCATCTACACTTGTAAAGTCAAATAAAGGGTCATACCCTTCTCTGTCAAAATTTGCCACTAACAAAGACCATTTTATGCAACCGCATGCAGCTCATTGGAGTCAGGCCTGCTTTCTTCAAAACTACCTCATTGGACCTTACATTTTGCTTAGTCCTTTGGATGGTAGAGCATATCTAATCTTTTTGCAACAAGTTCTGCTCAATTCTCTTGATACAAGGCATGCATCTTTGTCGTTGCGCCGCTTCATGTGGTACCAAGATTATAGAGCTCTTTCACATTATGGTATTCATCACAAACACCTCAATGCATTCTTTGGACATTTTTGAATAAGCTTGATGTCCCGGTTCATTGGTATGCCAAATTACCGGACCTATCATACATAGATTTCTTCTGGGATCACATCCCTGGAATTTTCCAGAACGTAAGAAACATTCCATCCAGTGTCACTGTCAGACCTGCCAGATTATTTCTGGTAATAATTTCAAACACCTGTTGTGGTACAACTTTTCAATAAAATGTTATCTGTCTCCTTAATGCGTTTCTATTTCTGTTTTTTCTCTGCTTTGCAGCATAGCTCGCAAATACGGCATTAGTGGTCTGGTATATTTCTATATGTGATTCCAAGTTCTCTCAGTACCCTGTAAACACCCTGCGATTTTGTCGGTCTGGTTGAGAACCAACATGTATGTAGGAAAAAAATAAATATCTAAAGATATCCTTTAAATACCCTCTTTGAGAATAAGACATCCATCCATTTTTCAATTTAGTTTGATTTAATTTACTTCACATTATTTATACTACCTTTGTAAAAATACAAACATCAAAATAATTAAAGTTTTAATTGCCATTAATGTGTCTTTCGCGTTCCGTTTTGAACATCAAACGTTTTTCCAGTTTAAACTACTTGTCCATGCACGTTACGGAATTTTCTGGTATTCTTTAGTAAAGAAAGCAACATTCTCGCTTCGAATATATATTTGTTCAATGAACAGTTCAATGTTTTTATCTCAGAAGAACCTTAATTTTCCACCGTTGATATCACCTTTACCATCTTGTACTTATGCAATAATAATTATGCAGTTTTCAAGAAAGGGTTTTTATGTGGAATATCTGTATAGACAATATTTTTTTAATATGTTATTTATTTATATTATGAAATAAACGACTAAAATCTGTGACTAAATCTCAGCTAACTCTTTTTTTGTTTTATTTATATATTCATAGAGATAATTTTAAGTTTCCATTTCAAATGCTACGTACAAATAATCATTTTCTGACTTACTTAATGAACGTTAAAAAACTCAATTTGATCATTTATTTGAGAGAAATCCTTTTCATGCAACAAACAAGATTAATCCTTTTAAAACAAGGGGGATTAGTTTGACATTCATTGTCACATTCGCAACAGATTTTGACATTTATTTCGTGTCTTTCCAAAGAGAAAGATGACATGTTTGGCTTGCAATAGTATTAACGGAAAAAATGAACTTGGCCTTATTAAATAATTTTGATTTTTCAACTTTTATGTCACATTCCATCTTAACATTATTGAAATTTGTTTGAAAAATTTTGGTCTAATTCCAATTGAAATTATTTTATAAATATGATACTTACTATTGTTCACCAAAGTTTTGCTTTTAAATACTTACGTATGGCAGATTATATTTATCTTGATGTAAATCTTGAGCTTCATATGATGGTATAAAAGAGAGAAATGGCCTCCGAACAACTGAAAGATGTAGATTAGGAAACCATTGACAAGCGATTCCCAAAATGTGAATGGTTACATGTTTTTACTGATGGCTCCCTTTTAGATAGATATCATAGTGTTGGAGTTGATATCGTTTGTGAATTGTTTAACTTTTACATTTTATAAGATATTTTTACTATTGCCTTCGATGGCGAGATTGAAGCTATTGCAGTAGCGATCGAGCAACTATCACTAAGCAGCTCTGAGTTCAACAGGGCCGTAATCCTTTCCTACTTTAACTCGGCGTTAGAAGCTTCATCTCAAAATTACCTCTGTAATTCATAAAGAATTTTAAAATGCAGATCATACTTTAAAGAATTTCCTCACAAAATTTCTTTTCATTGGTTACCAGATCACATTATGATACTGCTGGGAATGAGTATGCTGACTTTCTTGCTAAGAAAGGAGCCCTTGTGATTCAAAGATCCACGTGAATTTCAACCTTGAATTCCTCGAAAAGCTTTTTACTAATATTGCCTCTTGGTATAAAATAAAAATGGAAGTTGTGGAGATGTTGAAGGACAAGAACTGGACAATCTTGACTGAAAACCCGTCCTGGGTACCTGAGGCTTCTTGAAAAGCTGCTTTTGCTCGTTTTAGACTTTTAACAGGACGGGACTGTTTGCGATCCCATCTAGAGAATTGGTACAGCCGACTCATCAGACTGTACTCTTTGTGACTCTGCTCAGCCTATGACCATTGAATGATTGGGATTTTGGTCTGCACTAAATAGTTTTAATCGTATTGTCGAAAAATATTGCAGAGCATGTGCACTAATGGCTATTTATGATGGATTTGATAATAACTCTGAATTTGGATTTATCCATTTGTGATGAAGAAATCTAAGAAAAATGACAATATACTTATGTAATGGAAGCGAAAACGCGCGCGCGTTTTGTTTCAAGGAACATTTCGAGCAATGTCACAGTTATTTGTAATTTTAATTTTAATTTATTTAAATTTTCCAAAATTTTGTAAATTAGACATTTTGTAACTTAACTTTTGTAGTTTCCTACAATCTCAATATAAAAAAAAAAAAATCTACCTTATAATGTTTCCTGTGCAAGTTACATTGATTGTACACTTTAATCAGCCATGTTTCCACATAAGGTTACGAAGGCATTTTGCCCTATACATAGCATGTATCCACTAGTGGCAACATGGTGCACAAGGGTATAATTGTCATGTTATTGTGCATTAGAAATTTCGCTCATTTGAGCAGATGATGAATTAAGATTATTAATTAAATGTTTTAAATTGCTTACAAGAAGTTATTCACCTTCAGTTGTGGTCAAATAATTCATGGATTTTAAGTCTAAATGTATCGACTCCTTGGCAGCATCATTATTTTTCTTGACATATACTCATAATGAGCCCAGTGGCTGAGTGGTATCGCTTCAAGCTTCCTTGCCGAAATTTCGGGGTTAAATCACGGACTGGGCAGGGTCGACAAAGTCTCTTTCCTTCACGATAAAATGAGTACCAAGCTTTCTTGTGAACTAAACAATGGGAATTTTGCGTCAAACTGAACATCTGACTGGAACACTGCTCATGCACCTCAGGGCCCAAGAACACGAAAACTGAGATTGGCACAGTATGCCTGAGCCCTTTTGGGCTGTTGCGTCACTAAGTTTAGTTTATACTTTGTGACGGCTCACGCGTCCTTTCTCTAACATAACCTCTGTGTTCTTTGACGGCCACGATTGATGGCAAATCTTTTCCAACCCAAATCCAAGAAGTGAAACGAAGAATAGATGCAAATAAGATAACCTTTAAAAGGACAAAAGTTTTAGTAAGCGCGATGGCAATTTAGAAAAAGTTCAGTTCAGAAAAGATAGAAGTGTAAATTGACAGTCTACCTAA